TGTTCATTCCTAACCTGACCACACCTGCAATAATCCACTTTCCGATGCACTCTGCAGGACAGCAAGGTTAGTCACATCCCTGGGCTAGGGTTAGAGGGGATTCACCAGAGGCTTAATCCACATGTATTTCACCTTCACTTTTTAGAAAACCTGAAACAACTTTAAAATGGTTCAAAGGGGAGATCAAATGATAAGGTATTACATTTTAAACTAACTACATTTTCTATATTCAACTTTACAGTGCTCTGTCTGATAACAAGGTGATTCATATCCCTGGTCAGAGGACATTCACTGGGGGCTTAATCCATGTGGAGACCCTGCAAATGAATTTTGGGCTTCCATGACCATCCATAACCTTCTGTAAACCAGGGGTTCACAATTTAAACTCTGATATCATTCCCTCCTTTGGATTTGAATTATGTACAATCCTTGGATCACACAACATGGTGTGCTGCTCCATGTGGACTTGGTTGACACCTCACTTAGATGGGTGCTTGTTTGAAAACAAGCCTTAAGGCCCCAGATGCTAGTCTTCCTAATAGTCATCTAGTTTCTTCACATACTTTGCTGTAGTCTTCAGTCATCTCTTCATGATCATCAAGCCAGGCCACATCTAAGAACTAATTAAATTCAAGCCCCAAACCCATTCATATGGCTATGTTTTATATATGCCTGTGGTTCACCTTAGATACATCATTGTCATTTTATATTAGAGAACATTAGCAATCATCACAAACACCCCCCTCCCTCCCGGAAACTCTTCATGTCTATTAATTGTTCAAACTAAAATTCTTCCATTAATGTTTGGAAGTTTATTGTTGCTTTGTGTGTGTGTGTGTGTGTGTGTGTGTGTGTGTGTGTGTGCATGTCTTCATGCAGCTCATACTTCATTCTTCCACACCATTGGCTCTTGTCATACACTATCTCCTTTACCAATCGAATGACAACCAATTCTCTCAGTACAGTGACTGTATATTCCTTTCATGTTTTATTGATGCTTCCTGCACCATTCAATACTTTTCCTCTAGAATCCTTCAACATGGCAGCTCAGGTCTGAGCTTTTTTTCTTAGAAATGCTTCCTTTTTCAGATTCTAAGGCTATCTTTGTGCATTCCAACATAATACTTCACATTGTCTTTTTGAGTTGCCCTTTGTAACCTTCTGTTCCTCTCCTTTGCATCACCATTTCTCCCATTCTCTTTAGTTACTCTACATTTGTGACCTCGTTCCAGATGTCATACTGCTACCTGCAATATCATACTGTTCCCCAAGCCCCCTGTTTGCCACTCATCATTGTCCTATCATAGCCATTAGGGTAACATTCAAAACTCCTTTGTTGAAGCTGTCTCCAAGTTAACAAGGGCCCAGATAAACATGCTGTGCAGTCACTTTGGGGGATCATATAGTGTTTGGATCCATAGAGTGTTTATTGGCTTATTTCTTGAAGTAGACCACCAGGCTCTTCTTTCTTAAACTAAAAGCTCCCAGAAGCTGGTCCATCATGTGCATCCCTATTAGTATTTACAATACTGGTGTCGTGACATGGCTCCTAGCATTATGTCCCAAACAGCTTGCAAGTGCTGCATCCTGCCTTCCTCTCCTGCATAATCTCCCTGCTCTCTTCATGGATAAGAGTCAACATAAATCAAATTCCCAAAATGGTAAGATTAACCCAATTCTGAGTTTCTCCCTTCTCAATTATCTCTGACACAAGCCATGTATGGAGCATTCTCTTCACCTGTAACTAGAAACCCAGAGCTAGGTCAGAGTTTACAAGTCAAAAGGATGTGGTCCTTCAGATTTCCAGGTTGGCTTACAACAGCTACAAACTCAAGAGTCTACACAACATTCTAATTTCTGATATTAACTGAAAATAGTAATTTTCCTCACTCACTGCCCCTTCAGAGTGCCAGCCATATACCCAAGAGCCTCTCTTAGAGTCCCTCACGTTTACTTGTTAGCTCCCACTACTTCTGTGGGCTTGATCACTGGGATGACTCAGATCACACAGAGTATAATTTTATAGATTAATTACAGCACAAGGCTATAAATTAGGATCCTCATTAGGAAGAGATGCATGCTTGGCGTCTGGAAGGGTGCGCAATGCAGATCTTATTACCTTAACGAGGGCTGGTCACTCTCCCTTTGCCAGCCAGGAAGCTCTTATAGTCTGTGTGCTCAGTCTTTATTGGGCTCATGATTGAGGCCTCGGTGCATACGGATGGTAAGTGAACTCATGACGTCTGGGGTTAGTTGATATCAGCTATTAGGTGACCTTGCTGGTCTGGTCGGCTCCCAATCATTGGCACTAACTCTCAAGTGCGGTCTAGATAGCCACCTGTTGCATTGAGTCTATTGCAACTCATCGATTTTCCTTGGCTGTGATTGCCCTAAAAGTAGATTGCCACATATTTCTCCCATGAAGGTTGATGGGTTTAAACCACTTTCTATTAACAGCTAAGCACTGAACCACGGAGTCATTGGATCTCCTTCAGATAACAAAGTGAACTTATAGGTCAGAACAGAATGAGCCCAGAGGGTTGCCAATGGTGTGCATCTTTATGAACACAGAGCGCCACCTATCTCCCCTGGGGCAGCTGGAGGGTTGAGCCACCACCTTCCAGAGAGCAACTGAGCGTTGCCACTCGGCTCCTCGATTATTCAGGACATCCCTGAGTTTAGAGTTCTCTTTTCAGGAAACAAGGACGAGATCGCATTGTTTGAGGTACAGTTACATAGTCGTCGGCACTTTCTGTGTTCCTGACCAATTGTCTTTCCTTCAGCTTTGCAAATATGCTACCAACACCAATGGTCTGGGTGGTTTCTACCATCCTTTTGGCCTGGGTAGTTTTCCCTGCCTTCTTCACCTGCCTAACACCTGTCTATTATTCCTTCTGATTTAGGTCAGTGGGCATCTCTTTGTGGAACTTCCCCCTGAAACAATCACCAGGAAGGACGCCCCTGTGGGGCCCTGGAGCAGAATGACATAGCATATTCCTTTTCTTCATGGCACTCAACCCCGTTTTTGTGTTGACAAACTTCCTTGTGATATTATTGGATCAGTATCGATGAGGGGGACTTCAAAAAGTATGTGAAAAACTCACATTCTTTTCATTCCATTTTCCACAAATCTTCTGAAACCCTCATAATTCTGTGAACCAAATCACTCTAATCCATGTCAAGATTCCCTTCTAAGAAAAACGATGACCCAAGTTTTCGCCACACGACTGTGATGACTAGCGGCTCTTGTGCGGATCAAGCCAGGGACCAACAAACATGTGAGCCCCATCCTCCCTTGGGTCTCAGCTTTACCTTTCTGATGGTCTACGAAACAGACAATGTGACTTGATCCAGGGCAGTGATAAAAAGAACCTTCTCTAAAGAATGGGCTTCTCAGGAATGTTGGCCCAATGTAACTTACAACACTTATCTATTTAAATTTCAAATAGTCAATTCCCCAACTCTATTCATATTCATGAAAATGTCCAGGAGTAGAACTTCAGCTTTGTTCTTTGTAAAATACCCACCGGATAAAACAAGGTCCCTGACTTGACATTTGTATACTTCCCCAAACTGTTTATTCTTCCTCAGGCCCTATGTCTGTCTTCCCACACAAAGACCAAGGAGGGGAATAAGGTGCCCCCTACTATCCAAAGGAAACCATTTCACCTTGGCATCTCCAATTCAGAAGTTCAGAAGTAAAAATAAACATGAGACTTCAAATTGGGGATGTTTGGGAATTCCTGTTTTTCCCAAAAGTATCTGGATGGAAAATCACAGAAACTGATATGGCACTTATAAAATAATAAGAATTCCAGCCAACTATAAAAGATGCCTCATTAGTATTACAGACATTTCATCCAATGGACACATTCTAAGAATCAGGAAGGAAATACTGCAAACATAATATTTATTGAAGAGATGAACTGGTCTGGGTGAAGATATTGTTCACAGGGGAATGGGAGCTTAAACACAGGACAGAAAATGTAACACATTGAATTGGTGTCCCTGGCAATATCATAACCTGAACCATGTGCTTGTTCCATTGCATGTATAAGATCCCACAGAGAAACATCACTTCACACCACTTATTAATGTGATTCAGACACATTCAGCTTGAAAAGTAAGGGGAGGACACAAAACAAAGTTTGGCTGAACTACAGAAAGAGAACAAAGAAAGGGACACGATTGTTAAATGGTGGCAACTTTATTAGGAAAAGTTAGTTTATTGACTAATAGAAAAATAAACCTACAGGGACAACCAGGACTCCGATTGAGCCCAGGTGTAGCCCTCCCAAAGAAAAGGGACACCCATGTTAGTGAGGGAAACGCCACAGAGCTGACCCTTCCCTGTATTGCCCCACAGCCTGGCCTTCGACATGGAGCCCATCAAGCACTTTCCACGGCAAAGTGTGCAGTCAGCCACATACCAGAGCCTCTTGCTGTGGACGTCGGGGCGAGGCTCAAGAAACAAAATTCACCTGACAAGTAGTGAGCCAGGAGAGAAGAGAGCAGTCCTTTGAGACGGGTACGGGTACTGAGGAGCCCAGACTGGGCATCAGTAAGAAAGCACTGCGGTCAAGGGGTCTGCGGGTGATTTACAGCAAAGGACAAAGGGATAGTGCTCATGAAGGACTCGTTCGATGGAAATCACACTCGAAGCCCAATAAACAGGAGGAAAACGGGAATGTGGGGCACTTCCTCTTCTGTTTTTAGGATCAAAGCATTTGTTAAAAGGAATATAGCACCCAAACCTAACAGCAATGTCGAAACTGTGAGCGTTTTAAAAGACTAGAACGTGGGGCCCTGGCTAAGCGCTATGAGAGAGGGTGGTGGTTGGAATGCGGGCACTTCTGCAGGAGAAACGCCTGATGCGCTGCTTCCACAGAGACTGCAGCTATGAGAAGCCGATGGGTGGTTCTCATGGGTCATATGGGGTGATTATACTTTGAAATAGACTTGGTGACAACTGAACAGATGAATAGTGAGAATGTCTTCAGAAGTTAATACTTGAAGAGTTATAAGATTAAAAAGAAGGTAAGGTCCATTGTCAAAGCCTGTGGTGAAGACAAGGACAAATGGGTTGTTGGTAGGTGCCACAGAGGAGGCTCTGTCGATGCAACAGAAGGAAACACTGCCACGTCCTGAGCCATCTGCACATCCATTCCTATGTTTGAGTCCATTGCTACAACCACTGTGCCAATCTATTTCTTTGAGGGTCTATTTGACCAAACATGCTACTGTTTTCCAGGTTCCTCTTGGAAACATGCAAAACAGCATGGAAATCATACTGCTCATCAAGCAAGGGAAATAAATCCATTGAATTAGAAGGGAATGTAAAAGGAATTAAAGATGTTTTTTTCATTTCCAATCCACTTGGTTGTTTGGTCTTTTAAAGAAAGATATGCTTCGCCAGGACATTTTGGGCTTAGTTGGACCATCTGTACATTACAGCAAATATTTGTGAAGGGAAGAAGAAGGCCTGATCAATACCTCTGGGGTGAACAGGAGGGGGACAGAGAAGTGTGAAAGGCAAGTCTCCCCACTCTGCATGCCCACAGCGTGTAGCCTGCACTTGCAATCAGAGCTTCAGATCACAGGAAACAGCGTCACCAAGTATCGCCAGGTTATGACCACACACGGCTGCTGCTCAACATGCCACTGAGCACCAGAGAGCACATGAGTGTTGCCACAGAGACACATCCACGCAGAGAAGAGGACGCCGGAGTGCCACACACCAAAGGCTCCGCTTTGTAGGGCCTGGTTGTCTCTGGGGGTAACGCCGTCATCCCTTGAATCTGAAAATTAAAGAGGACACAACACCAGTGAGGGAGTGGGACTGCTAAGACAGTAGGAGGGAAATGGGGGTGGGGGAGCAGGTGGCTGCTGAAGAAGTCAAATTTCAACACCGTCAGAGAGCAGAGTCTGTTGTCAAAAGAAAGAACTACAAAAGAGGCTCTCCTGCATTTTGAACTTCTCAATCCGTCCTACGCCTGCTCCAGGCCAACACTGCTGTCCTTGGATGTCACCAGGTGAATTCAGAATCACAGCACCCCCTTTTGACACAGAACTGCCCCACGGGGTTTCCAGGCTGGAGTTGTTATTGGGAGTCTTAGTGATGCAGTGGTGCTGTGTTGGGCTGCAATCTCTGTGGTGGGCAGTTTGAAACCATCAGCAGCTCCTCAGGAGAAAGACTAGGATTTCTACTCTCCTAAACCAGTGGTTCTCAACCTTCCTAATGCCGCGATCCTTTAATACAGTTCCTCTTGTTGTGGTGGCCCCCAACCAGAAAATTATTTTCATTGCTACTTCATAACTATAATGTGGCTACTGTTATGAAACGGGCGGCCCTATGAAAGGGTTATTCGACCCCCATCCCACCCAAAAGGGGTCATGACCCACAGGGTGAGAACCACTAGCCTAAAAAGTTATCATCTCAGCAACCCACAGGGGTCACTATGAGTCAACATTGGCTCAATGGCAATGAATTTGGTTTCTTTCTTTCTTTCTTTCTTTCTTTCTTTCTTTCTTTCTTTCTTTCTTTCTTTCTTTCTTTCTTTCTTTTTGAATGTTTACAGAACAGAAAAAGGCATAAGGAGTTACAGTGTCTGAAGCCAGACGCTGCCGTATTGGGTCACTATGGGGTGGATTTCACTCAGTGGCAGTGAGGTTTGAGAATCTTTAGAGGAGCAGACCGGCAGGTCTCTCACCTTCAAATTTTTTCAGTTAGTAGCTGAGTCTAGTGAGACCAGTCCTTGGAGAAGGACATCATGCTCGGTAAAGTGGAGGGCAATGAAAAAGAGGAAAGCCCTCGAGAGATGGATCGACACAGTGGCTGCAACAATGGGCTCGGGCGTGGGAACCATGGTGAGGAGGGTACAGGGCCGGGTGGTGTTGTGTTCTGTTGTGCACAGGGTCGCTATGGGTCGGAACAGACTCAAGGTCACCTAACATCAAGAACAACAGTTGAGTACTTGATACTGCTCAACCACTGGACCCCAGCATCAGTTCTCAAATAAGTCATCCTATTCAAAAGGAGAGAAATCAGGAGATGCTAACCAACCCAAGTAATCCATGGCCAAGTGAAGTGCCAGGCATACCAAATCACACCAAACCGTCAGATTTGTGGATGTGTTCCTTGGGCTCTCCTATTGTGGATTCAGGGGAAAGGTGGCACGTGGCCTCACACAGATTATAGTACGCAGAGCTTACCGACCACTCGGCATTGTCCGTCTTGGAACACCTCACGTTCACCGGCAGGCCAAGGACCAGCTTATTGAAGGAGAGGCCTTCCTTTTTAGTCCATTTAAACTTGTTCATTGCATCCATGAAAGAAAGGTTTTTATACTGCTTGGGGCTTTTGATAATGAAAGGCCAGGTCCTGAAATTAAAACAAAGAGCCATCATTAGTCACAGTCAGAACAAAGGCACTATGCTTCCCTTGCTCGTCAACATTCTAAAATAAATGTTTACTTTGAATGAGTTCTTGTGGCAAAGTGTTTACGCGTTGGGCTGCTAACTGCAAGCCTGGCAGTTTGAAACCGTGAGACACTGTACAGGAGAAAGGTCTTTCAACTCCCGTAAAGACTTATGGCCTCGGGAACTCACAGCGGGCAGTTCTACTCTGTCTACAGGGTCACTATGAGTTAAAATCAACGCAATAGCAGTGAATTCGTCTGATCATTTTTATACACATATTGATAAATTTAGTAGCAATTACAAATGGAAATACATGCCAAATAAGAAGGCTTTGAAAAATAAACTATTCCTGGTTTTAATAACAGATTTTATAATGGCTAATTGTCTGCATCAACTTTGCTAGGCTACGGTGAATAATGATATCTACATGTAATTAGCATTTACAATTTGTTACTCAATTATGGCAGGTGTACTTAGGTTAAAATGTAATACCTAATCATTTGACCTCCCTTTTGGCCCATTTTAAAGTTGTTTCAGCTTTTAATATTTTCTGCTGTCTTTTTGAGGTTTCATTTAGTCAATGGTATTGGGCTTTTGTTGTTTGCTTTTGTTTGTTTGCCTCCGGTTTCTGTTTTGTCTAATTTTCTGTACATGAGATTCTGGATAGGTAGATCTATAGAGACAGTAACTGGATTGGTAACTGCCTATGGGAATGGCAAGGGAGGATGCAGGAAATGGGGCGTTAAAACAATGAGTACAAGATGAAATTGATTGTGGTGAGGACTGCACAAAACTTCTTAATGTGACTGAACAATTAAATAGTGTGATATATGAAGAATGTGTCGATAAATTTTTTTTTAATTTACAATTTGTTGATTTTAAGTAAAGGAACCGTGGTGACACAGTGGTTAAAGCGCTTGGCTACCAAAAAGTCGGCAATTTGAACCCCTCAGCCCTTCTGTGGGAGAAAGATGTGGCAATTTGCTTCCATACATATTACAGCCTTAAAAATCCATCAGGCAGTCCTACGGCCCTACATTGTATCTGTAAGTTCTAACTGACTTTAAGAATGATGCTTTTGGTTTTTGCTTTAAGGATATTAGCCATGTGGTAATAATTTCCTTCTAAATCAACCCTCACTCATGTGGATCAGCCTAAGTCTATCAGCCTAAAAACCCTAAGAGCAAAAGAGGTTTCCAAGAGGAGAATTCTGCCTCAACTTGATAGGGCAGACATCCTGCCAGAGGCTGGCCCACACATTTAAGACTTCAGACTGCCAGTTTCCATCCTTCTCCTTGACCTAAGAATTTGAGGCTTGGAATATACACACATATATATATATACCATATATGTATTAGTATTATGATAATAATAATTATTGCATATATTCTTATAAAGGACATTTTAAGATCTAACTTGAAGTACAATGCTGTCTTTGATAGGACAATGTGTATCTACATACAGGGAAATCTAATCAATACAACTATTATTCAAATTTATGCACAAACCACTAAATCTGGTGATGAAGAAATCGAAGAATTCAACCACTGTCTTCAGTCTAACATTGATCAAACAGGCACTCAAGATGCATTGATAATTATTGGCTATTGGAATACAAAAGTTGGAAACAATGAGGAAGGAACGGTAGTTGGAAATTGTGATCTTGAGGATAGAAATGAGGCTTTCGGGAGATCCCAGATCTGGAGCTAGAATATCCCATGATAGAATTTTGCAAAACCAAGGACTTGTTCATAACAAGTATCATTTTCCAACCGTACAAAAGAAAATAATACATGCAGATTTCTCCAGATGGAACACACAGAATCAAATTGACAACATCTGTGGAAAGAGATGATAGAGTAGTTCTATATCAGCCACTAAAACCAGGCCAGAGGCCAACTGGGAAGAGACCATCAATTAGACATATGTAAGTTCAGACTGAAGTTGAAGAAAATGAAAACAAGTCTACAAGAACCAAAACACTACCTGGAGTCTATCTCACCCCGATTTGGAAAGCATCTCACGAGCAGATCTGATGCATTAAACGCTGAAGACAGAAGGCCTGATGAACTGTGGAAGGACATCAAAACAACACACAAGAAGAGAGCAAACTTTCATTAACAGTACAAGAAAGAAGGAAAAGATCCAAGTGGATGTCAGAAGAGATTCTGAAACTTGTTTTTAATTGTAGAGAAGCTAAAGCAAATGGAAGAAAAGATGAAGTCAAAGAGCCAAATCGAAAATTTCAAAAGGCAGCTCAATAAGACAAAGTATGATATTAGAATAGAGTGTGCAAGGACCTAGAGTTACAAAACCAAAAACGAAAACCAGACTCAGCATATCTTAAACTGAAAGAATGAAAGAAAAAAAGTCAAGCCTTGAGTTGCAATATTAAAAGATTCTATGGGTAAAATGTTGAATTATGCAGGAAGCATCAAAAATGGAAAAAGGAATAAAGATTTGCTATACCAACAAGAATTAGACAACATTCAACCACTTCAAGAAATAGTATATGAACAAAACAAGAAAAACATAATAGATCATACTGAAGGAAGAAATCCAATCTTCATGGAAAACATTAGCCAAAAATAAAGCTCTAGGAATTGTTGGGCTACCAATGAAATGTTTCATCAAGCTCATGAAGCACTAGATGCATTCAGTCATCTATGCCAGGAAATTTGGAAGACAGCTACGTAGCCACCTGACTGGAAGAGATCCATATTTATACCCATTCCAAAGAAAGGTGACCCACAGAATGCTCAAATTATAGGACAATATCAGTTATCTCACATGCAAGTAACATTTTGCTGAAGATCATCCAGCCACGGTTGCAGCAGTACATTGGCAGGGAACTGCCAGAGGTTCAGACCAGATTTAGAAGAAGATCCAGAACAAGGGATATCATTGCTGACACCAGATAGAAAGCAGAGACTACCACAAAGATGTTTACTTGTGTTTCATTGATATGCAAAGGCTTTTGACTGTGTGGATCATAGCAAACTATAGATAGCCTTGAGAAGTGTTTCATTCAGTTGTGTACAGGGTCAATATAAGTCAGAAATAATGTGAATGACACCTCACAAGAAGAGCATAATTATTATATGTAGTATAATAATAATATTATAGAATAGTATCTATATTCTCCCATCTCCATTGTGTTTGATCCCTATATACATAGTTGCCTATCGGTTATATCTCCCAGAGAACTCAGACTGGAACAGCTTCACATCAACAATTTTGGCTGGGAAAGCTTTCTCACAGCCTCCCAATGTTGCTATGATTCATTTCGAGTAAGTATAGCTCATAAGATTGATTTCTAAAGACCCTAATACTAACAAATGCCGTACAGAAATTTAGAGGTTTTAAAAGGTATTATAACAGAGGTGTGAATTTCAAGCGATAGAGTTTAAAAATCTCCCTCTTGCTAGCTCCCATGGTTCAGTTTGCCCAAGATGTGAGGAGATAAACACAAAGATTTGAATTTGAACAAGTGTGTTTCCATTTTTTCCGTGGACAAGCAATGCCCTATAGATCATGCGCTTTGCTTCCACTTTTCACTCTAAAATAACACATGCTCAATGTCCAAAAAAGAAGTAATCCCAGAAGGACATCAATTAACGCCTCTCATTAAATGTTTAATTTTATAAATCCCTGATAAAAGAACAGAAAGCTGGCTACATCTACATGAAATCTACATGAACTAAATTAACCCACGGATATTTTCACAGGCGACCAGTAGTTAAATGCTTATCATTAGAGGTGGCTCCCATGACAACCCCAAAAGGACAATTCTTATAGCCCCGCCAGGAGAAAACAACTGGCCAGGCAGGGTGGGCCTTTGCTTCCTGGAAAGCCAAGGACAATGCTCAGACATGGAGACTCGTGAGCTCCTTATCCATCCCCAGAAGTAACTCTTCCGGTTTGCTTTACCATCTTAAACATCAAAGGGTATGAGCCTTTCTTAGTCTGACATTTGCTGAGAATAGTTTTATATATTAGCTCCCATCCTCTTCATTAAAATATATTGGAAGAAGTAAAAATCTCAGCTGTAATGTGTTCTATTATTTTTCCTTTTACATTTTTTATTATCATAAAATATTGATAACACATTTGCCATTTTTCCATGTTCAATTGACTGAGACCAATGACAACACACATAGAGTGCCACCATCATCAATCGATTGATGGATACCACAGAACAGTCACTCAGAAACCTAGTCTGATTTTTCTGGCCATAGAGTCTGTAGCAACATAGCTCTATTTGGCACTTCATATAAATATATAAATTTACTTAATGTCTCCAGCATCGAGTCAATGCTGGCTCAGAGACGCCGCCTGTGGGTTTCTGAGAGGGTAGCTGTTTATGGGAGTAGAAAGCCCAGTCTGCCTCCCGAGGAGCTGCTGGTGGCACAGAGGCTGCACACAAGGTCAACAGTTCAGACCCATCAACTGCTTCCCGAAAGAACAAGGAGGCTCAAACGTTTCATCCTCCGCTAAGAGCACACTCGAGCAATTAACTTCCTGGGGATGGGTGGGAAGGGGAGCCTGAGTGGGAAGGGGAGGTGACCGAGCCTCTGGTGTTTCTGTAAAATGAAATGTCCCAAGACAGAAGCACAGGGCACCATTGTTTCACTTTCAGAATGTCTTCTTTTCATCGCTGACTAAACCTCCATGGAATGAAACGCCAGCTGAGATAGCTACATTTTTAACGTATGCTCTTTCCCAATTCGTCATGCGTCTAACCTCATTGTCACTCTTGCACCCAAAGACAGCTATTACATGTCACCTGTTGGAGTAAATCAAGTATCTTTTGTCATGTATTGGAGTTGTGAAGTTACCTTAATAATGGCTAAACTGAATGACATCGAAACGTAACCCCTCCTACTCTAATACATGACATAGTTTTTTTTAAATGGAAAAATATATAACCAAGATCTTTATATTTTTCTTTTGTAATCACCT